CATTCAACGCCTTAACGTTCTCTGCATTTTTTAAAAATGGAAAACAAAAACATTTGTTTGTATATATCCTAATGGTGTTTTAGTCATATTTTCTCAAATTATATATAGAAAAATTATGAAATAGTGCTGTGTTCTCCCTTACATTAATCAAATTATAAAAGCAATATTTAAAGAAAATGGAATCTGCAAAATCAATCATTCTGGGTTAGGAAATGACTAAATTAAGACTACCCTAGCAGCATTAATTTTGCAAACATCTACAGTACTTCTGGAGCCAGGAACTAAACCCAGCCATCCAAGATTCAGTCTGATGCTTTAGTCTCATTCACAATCCATCATTTGATGATGCACAGCCTTTTGCTGTTTGACCTAAAAGAACAAGTCACAGCCAACTATCTGGTTTCAGCTACGGTGATAAATACAACACACTTTGTGATTTATACATTAATTTACTAACGGTTTGGAAACTGTATTCCTGAATACTCTTCCTGGCAAAAGAGGGAGATGGTTACAGACAGCTCACACAACAGCACAATTTTAGCATCTTTATTCTGCAAGATCATGAGGATATGGCTGGAATTTGGGTCTGGAGAAGAGTCTGGGTTCTTGGGGCCAGCAGAATGGAACCTGGGGCTGGCATTCACTAACAAGAGCAGAACTGCGGAATTTTGCAAAACAAGACTAGAAGAAGTCCAAGGTTGAATGGTTACCTTTTACTCTAAAACTTACAATCATACTGGAATTATTCCCAGTGCTTTTAGATAAACTAGCTATGTTTTTACTCCTCCTATAAACTATGCATTCTAGTGCTTAAATGTCCTACACCATAATGCTTTTTATAAAGTCTAAAACTAAATACATTGGTTTGGCTTCCGAGTATGATATCAGATGACTGAGATTTGAAGTTTGTGACGTTTGCACAATTTATAGAATCTCAGTGGAAAAGCTGTGATTCCAAGATATTGCCTCTTCCCATTTCCCAAACTGGACTTTTACTTTTCCGAGGGAGTGATGGTTGCTGCCTCCTATACAAGTTTCCTGCATTATCTGGCTGACAAGAATGCACAGCCGAGCTGGAGTCCCAATAGCAAACACCCAAAGACTGCTTTTCCCTGCAAAGTTAACCACAGTTAAAACCTGGGGACTGAGACTCATCTGGGGTCCATGCACACACGAGTCTTTCAACATGAGCTGGCTATCCTATCAAGCAGAGACAAGGTTAAAGGATTACCAACTGCTAATGAAATTCCTCTACAAATTGCATGATGATTAGCATCCTCACTATTAACCCACAGTTCCGTGTGTCATATTTCCCCCAGGAAAATAAGTGATTTCTGAAGCTTTCTAATCTGGTGGATGTGATCTCTGATGTATTTGTGTCTCCATCTATCCACAACTACATACAAAACAAAGGAGACAAGATTCCCAAATAGTGTTTCCCTTTGCAATCTCTCTTATTCAAACCGTGATAACTTGTGAGGAGTAACTCAAGGAGAGAAAACTTCAGTGACTATATACCCGATGTTAGAGACACAAACAGTACTTTTCAAATTCCTACAGTTTAGTCTGAATAACTTTTCATTGGAAAAGGATCATTGTTCTACTAAATTTCATGCTTCTATTTTATATTAGTAAAATATTGGAAACTCTTACAAAAATGGTTAGAAATATGTAAAAAACAAAACAATATAATTTTAAAAAGTCTTGTATTTCCTGACCATTTTTCTCCAATCTCTTTTTTTTTTAAAGTACCTCTTTTTTTTTCTTTTTCTTTTTTCCTTTTCTCTTTTTAAAACCTGTGGCTATGAAGAATTTCAGGAAAAAATTATGAACATTTGTGAAAACAAAAGAACCACATTATATACTCTGTGATTGATGATTTGCAGCATGTGGACCCAAAAAGAGAACAAAAAACACGGGAGAACAGAGGATTGCCTCAGAGGTTTTGAGGCACATAGACCCTCAGAAATCAAATGCATAAGATAAAGTGTGCTTGCAAATAGCCACTAAGCCAGCGTGGAGATGATAGGACAGGTAGTTTGATATTCTATTAAGTAGAAAGATCATTTTAAGAATGATCCTGAGTCTATCAGAAAAACGACTAGCATCCTTTCACTAATTTGCATATTTTAATGAATATGCTGATTATTTAGCCTATTGACTAGGCTGGAAAGGCAAATGCTGAACAGCCTCAATCACATACACCACTAGCATTTTCATCTAAAAAGTTACAACTCTGAATACATTCTTGTCTCTTCCCTTTCTTTATCTGTCAAATGAAATAATCTTTACAAGCTAGTAATATATAACCTTTCTTTGTCTCTAATAAATCTAATAAAAGGGTTAACACTAAAAAATATGTGTTATTAATACATCAATAGTAACAATCAGCTGGACTAGTTACAGTAACTTAATTCGAAGTTATATAACTGTGCCAGGCAGTAACTATTCTTATAAAGCAGTGTCTTTCTAACCCCTTGCCAAGGATATTTAATTTGATGTCCAAGTTTTCTTGCCTATGAGAAAACCATTTTCCATTTTAGCTGCTAGCAACAAGTATAAGTGAACATGTTGTAAATGTTGTAAACTAGTTACTTTGAACTTTTGGGTCGCATTATGCACACAAGTTATCTACTCTGAAAAAGCATCATATAAACATGCCAAATTACACAACTCTGTGAAAAATGCTTTTCATCTGAATTATAAGTTAAAACTTTTTCTGACTTTATAGAAACTGGAACTTGAAAAGATAAAAACCTAAAGCTTGATTTTTCTTCACCCAGAGCATATGTTATATAAACACAAATCTCCAAAAGGTGCCAAGAATTGTCCCTCTGTTTTTCTAAATGATCATGTGTGCAGTCTAGCTGAAAAGACTCATCGATTATGTCTACATAAACAACAAAAGCCCTTAGAAAAAATATCTAGATCAAAAGCCTGTCAAACACTGAACAGGAAAGAGAAATCCTGCTTTAAACATGGCCTCTTTCAAGTCTGAATTCAATCCCATGAAGTAAAAACAAAGGATTTCATAATGAAAGGTATTTAAAATTACTTTATTTTTGGAACTTAACCAGGGATTCTTTTTTCCTATATGTTAACCTTTGTCTTTCTTACATTGGGACAGAATTCTGCAAAATGTGTCTTACAGTTTTAAGGAAATGTAGAAATTGTTTAGTCACAGTCCACTCTGTTCACAATACACATTTCCAATTATTTTCATTAAAATGCAAAAGTTATATATTTACTGACATTATGGGTTTCTCCTTTTGTCAACCACCTGACAACATCCACTGTTAACATGGGAACATAGCAAAGTTCTTAATGGATGAGATGCATTTTTTTTTTCTTTTTTTTTTTCCCTCACTTTACTAAACTATAGACACATAATCAAGAAAGGAAATCACACATTCTTGCAAAAACAAAATACATTACTATATAGCTTATAGATAATTATGCTCTGGAAGTCATACTCAGAAATAATGAAGTATAATAAAGTATAGAGTCAGATACTTCTAGAAGTATAGTTTCTAAAAGAAGTGAAAGAAATTTAATAGATATATATCTGATTAAATATAATCCTCGTGTTTGATTTCCTACTCTGTTATTAAGGTCAATTTGCAAACATATGGCATGATTTACAGTATACCATTAGTGATCTCTTTCAGACAAACTTGTGATTTGATTGTCCCCTATCTATATATATAAATAATAATATAAACATAATGTAAAACACTTGTTACATGTTTAATCATGCCACTAATGTAACATTTATATGGTACATACATAATCAGAATCCAGTTTTAAAGCAGTTCGTACCTGCTACTGCAGGTTTAGCTAATAGATGTTTGTCTTAGAAAACATCAGTTCACATTTGATGGTTCAAAATAGTTGTTTTGCTCAATTTATTCACTGTAATTGAGAGTCCTATAGCATGGATCAGTATATACTAGAACATATGTACTCCACTTCTTATAATGTTCAGATAGATGGCCATCTTGAATATTCTAACCAAGAAGAGATAAAAGCATATCTGACTGGCCTCTCAAACATAATGTGCATTCGGTTATTAATGATTTCTATATGCGATAGCTCATTAACATAGCTCTAAGCTAACAAATTACTGACAGCTCCATTGAATCAGCAGTAGAAACTGATTTTTCAAATAACTTACCTGTTCAGGAGATAACAGGTCTGTCTTATATTATAAAATGCAATATCAAAGCAGAAGGAGCAGCAAAGCCGTCAAGGAAGTTAAAATTACGTTGGTGTACTCATCAGGCCATTGTCACCCTGATGCAGTGAATTCTAACTTGTATCAAAAAGTGAATTGGTCAATACAGAGTATTTTTCAGAGCAGTATTTAAAGAGATGCTCTGATATAGCGCTAGTTAAAAATCAAAGTTATCCTTACCTCCTATAGTCTTGCAAAAGAAGGGTCTAGTAAAGCATTGAAAGCATAGCCTATTCATTTTTAACGTCTTTTCCTTCTAGCACTCAGGATGCCAGTTCATCATGGATATTTCTAATGTATTTTCTCTTGCACTGTGTTCCACTAATCACATCCAAGTATTTCATATGGATTTGCCTTATATTTGGAAAACCTTTAACTACTTTTGCTATGCTTACTCCATGTTTTTGGCGCATACAAAAGAATTATCTCTTTGGAAAGAAGTTAATGAAACAGATCCAGCTTCAATAATTTTTCAAGGAACAAAGGTTGTAAAATTGTTTTTTGCTGGAATGTTGAACTTATCAGAAGATCACACACTCAACCCAACAGCATTTGTCTTTTCTGTCATGAAAAAGACAGTGAGTCACCTACAGTACAACAGAATCATTTTGCAAATCTTTTAGAACTGTGTGGCATCTGATTAAACTAAGCCACATCTTTCTATGATGCCAAAATAAACAGTCCCTTTCCCACAACGTATAAACACTGTTCCCATAACTTTCCTTTGAAATGTCATGAAAAGGTTAAGTGAAGTTTCATTATTTACCTTGACTAATGAATTGTTCCATGCTGTCTTTGAAAGGCTGGAGGTGCTCTTCTAGTGATAGCTGATAAACTTTTGCTGCTTCTGTCTCACATACTGAAATTAAAGTAACAGATTAGTTTAGGATGACACATCATAGTATGGACCTGCATACTTCAATAAAAGGCACACTTGAATTAATTAATAGCCAGTGAAACTGCTGGAATATGTGCCTCAAACACACTACTTCAAGTACAAACACCATGATAATATATTCAGGAACAATTATGTTCCTGGTCAAATGTTTGTGACCAAAATATACAGCTAACTTGGGGCCAGTGTTTTAGTTTAAATGAGTTGTAGCAAAAATTAACAAAAGTATTCAACTGTTTTGAAGGAGAAAGATAAATTTAAGGGGCTGAGATGTACGGGAACAAAATTACAAAGTTGGATCCCAGGCTGTGTTGATATACCTGGCCCCAGGTGACAGTGCTTGAATCAAAACAAATTTCAGATGCAAAATCTGCACCAAATAGCAGGAAGGACCTTAATTTAGTGAGTAAAGCCAGATGAGGGCTTAATACATGCTAAAACCACATGTGTAGTGAAGTGCCTTGCATTGTTTAAAAATAATAGTGCAAAATGATTAAAGTGAAAGAATATAGTTATGAGTATAGTTATCATGGTTTTAACTCTATGAGAGACCTTGAAGCAGGACAGCTTGCTTCTATTGCATTAGAGACCAGGAGAGAGAAGATGGAGACTGAGGCAGCCCTGACACAGGTTATTCATTGGTTTGGTGGTACCGTCATACTTCCATTAACTATCCAAGCTAATTTAGTTCAGAGCAACAAAAGACTTGATAATACTGCTTCAGGAGAATGTTAAGCTCCGATTTCTGTTACAGGAGAAATCTCTTCAGGCTGTGATAAGTTCCCATCATTCAAGAGAAATTAATACTGCTTGATACTGCCTCAAAATTTCCAGTAAAATTGCACACATTTAAAAAAATAAAAAAATTCCTTTTTTACTCTCCAGGGTTTCTTTCAGCAAAAATGGATTATTACTATGTCTTTAAATACATAAGACTAGTTAGACATTTTAAAAAAAAAAAAAAAAAGATTTTGAAGCAGCAGAATGTACAGTCATAATTATTTCCTTCAAATATAAATGATGTCTAGAATTGCATCAATCCAAATTTCTACAGATGAGAACTGTAGTCTACTTTTGCAGACTGGAAACAACAGGTAGCAGCCTTACATGTATCACCTTTATATGCTCCAAAAATGTGACTCTAATATTTGAAAGGGTCTTGGGGGTGGGGGGGGTGCGGGGGAAGGGAGACCTGGTAGGAAGTCATCTTATTCTTACTTCAGGAAGCATGAATTGGTGATCTGGTAAATAATATCTGTCTCTAGTTTATAGCAAGAAACTAATAATATATCCAAAAAAGCATGGCAGAGCAATTAAAGATAACATAGTTAAAGACAAAGATCGAAAGGTTCATTAATTTTTGCAAATGCTGGTCACCCAATCCACTGTACCTCTGTACTTAATCATTCAACCTAGAGTACCAAGAAGGTAAATATATATGATGGTAGTCACATCACTTTGTATTCTGTTAGCTATATAAATTGATTCACCTTTACTGTACTACACATCTGATCTGGTACATCTGGGGCAAATCTTTGGAGAAAGTAACTTCATATTTCACAGATGCTGGTTAACAATTTTTTCACATAGTTGGGAATATACCGAAGACAATTAGAGATATCATTTTTTTAAATGCACATATAAAGAAAAGCAGACTGATTTGAATAATTGGTAACTCCACACAAGTGGAGTAAAGCCAGGATGACAAAATTTTATTTATTTACTTATTTAGATTAGAGCAAAATAGAAATAAATACCAGCAGATTTTTAGGGGAAAAAAAATAACATGAATATATTTAATTGAACACGTAAACCTGCTTATAAAGCAATACTTCAAAATAAAAAAACCCCACAAACCTAAAATCCCCACAAATATAGTCATATGGACTATAATTTTTAAACAAATGTCAGTCAATACATGTGAAATATAGTAGGGGATCCAAATGACCACAAGTTTTCTTACAGCATATGATAGACAAAAAAATAGAGAAGCTATATACTGTTCTGCAAAGGAAGACATCCTGATGATGATGCACAGAATTTCAATTATTCTTTTCTCCTATCCAGAAGTGACAGAGCTGAAAGGTGCTATAGAACCTACCATAATATTTGATATCACTGAAATTCCATATCTTTTCCCAGAATATGGATTACATATTCTTCACAGAAGTACATTATACTCTCTTGAGTTAATATCTGCAGCTCATGAACTCCTGATCTCTCAGCTAATTTGAGAGAAGTATAGATCTTATGAAGATATATAACCACCAAAAATCTTAGCCTATACACATGCCAATAGCCTGAAGCAGTGCCTTTTCAAAGTCTATAAGGAAATGCAGGGATATACTAACCTTCATATTCAACTCTCTATGGAAAAGAAAAACATATATTATTGTCAGAATGAAATGTCTGTCCTTTAACCATTCAGCTACTGGAAGCTCTGCTGTGCTTGATTTGTCTGTACATGTATGTGGGCTGGGGGAAAGCGAGTGCAGTTAATGATATCTTTGTTTCTCCAGTTTTTGGTGAAGGCTTTTTCTTTTGTTCATTCTACCCCTCCTGTTAAAAGACTAAAATCAGTAGTGTTCAGAAGCATAATGGTTCAGGTCCATTTTTGTCCCTATTCCTGAATTGCAAACGATGTCCAAGTAATTTAAAATCCAAAAGAAAACACAGGAAAAAAAATCCCTTTTTAAAAATGCAGCATCCAACCTTTAAAAATACTACAAATTCTGTCACTATTGCCATACTGATATCAGTACTATGATGCTTAAAACAAACTAGTTCCTCAGACGCTTTCTTCATTAAAGAATCAACGGGCCTGTAAGCTCTTCCTAAGTTTCCCAGTTCTCCAGAGCACCAAGACTGAAATTGTGGTCTCCCTGCACAACCTGTTGGATATACCACTCATTTATCATGTTTTTAAATTTTTCACCAGAGTATAAAACCCTACTATTTGGACAAGATATTGTTATTCCTCACTGTAACTGAAGAAACTGAAGTGCTGATCATTTGAAAGGAACACCAAACACTAGACTGTTACCAGTAAAAACACAGGAAAAAAAATCCCTTTTTAAAAATGCAGCATCCAACCTTTAAAAATACTACAAATTCTGTCACTATTGCCATACTGATATCAGTACTATGATGCTTAAAACAAACTAGTTCCTCAGACGCTTTCTTCATTAAAGAATCAACGGGCCTGTAAGCTCTTCCTAAGTTTCCCAGTTCTCCAGAGCACCAAGACTGAAATTGTGGAAAAAAAATCCCTTTTTAAAAATGCAGCATCCAACCTTTAAAAATACTACAAATTCTGTCACTATTGCCATACTGATATCAGTACTATGATGCTTAAAACAAACTAGTTCCTCAGACGCTTTCTTCATTAAAGAATCAACGGGCCTGTAAGCTCTTCCTAAGTTTCCCAGTTCTCCAGAGCACCAAGACTGAAATTGTGGTCTCCCTGCACAACCTGTTGGATATACCACTCATTTATCATGTTTTTAAATTTTTCTGCCCAAATGAAAAAATAAGATACTGGATAAATGTTTGTGTCAGAAGAGTAATTAATAACTTCTAAGCAATGTGGAGGTTAAATATGAAAAAAAAAAAAAAAAAGTGAGAATACCTACAGTCTTCTATTTTTTTTTTTTTCCCCTCAGCTTCATACTCGAGCACATTTCTTTTCATGGAACAGCCTGGCTATGCACCCTAGATATGAAAGGAATAAGTCTGCAAAGGGTATCAGCTGTGATGAGTGTGTAAAAGTTTTGTCTGAAACAAAAAGTTGCCTCTTTTTTGATAACAGACTCAACACTTGCTCTCTTATAATCCCTATTCTCACAGGTTCAGTTATTCTCTCATTTTGGGAGATACGTACACAACTGAAAAATTTAGACAAAGCTAGTGTATTCCCAAGTTCAGTTTACTTTAAGCAGATTTTAAATTTTCTTATAATGAAAGAATTGAAAGATATTCAAGGCACCACAAATAAGAGACATGTAGGCAGTCACAAAAGCCAAGAACTAGGTAGAAGCTTATCTCACAACATGGAATTGCCCAAACAGGAATACAGATAAAAACTTTTTGATATTGCTTTGCAGCAAGGTAAAGTTTTCAGTTCCCTGTAGTCCCGAATGCCCAGTCCTCATGCACTGATCACACACCTTCCAAAGATCTCAGATCCTAAGCAGAAGTTGATGTGGTTAGAGACACCTCTTCTTCAAACGTCTATGTCAATTTTAACATATAAACAATATCTCAACAATGGAAAAGACCCATAGTCCATCTAATTTTGTCTCCTATGCAACATTGTATGCTGCAGAGGACTGTTTGTGATTTTCCAGAGAAGGAATACAAATGGATTCTTGTGGGAGGGCCTTCTAAGTTTTGGGCAATTCAAGCTGTTAGCTTTTTGCCCATACATACACAGATATCTCAAATATTCCTGATCAGGAAATTGATGTGAAAATCTGTGTTCAAAACCAGCTTAGAGATTTAAAAAAAACGCAATTCCAGCTGTATCCAGTATCTCAAGAATCTCATCATAACAGCCAATATGTATTAAGACACATCTATACAGAAAAGGAAAAGACAAGCCAAAAAACATTGTCTGCATTGTACTAACACTTTCAGCAAGCAATTCCGGTAAGTGATCTAAAATGCACCCAGTCTCAGTATCAAAAATAGTTGCTTTACTTTTTTAAAAAAGGAAAAAAAATTGTTTTCAAGATTCAGAATATCTATTTAATACAAGTTTTCCAACAGTTCTGTTGGATACTAAATTTTAGCCCTTGGAAGCACAAATCTCTTCTAATCCTAAAAAATGCTTTTTTGAACAAAATGTGTGAGCAGATGAACAGCTGCTCCTCAGGTCTACTATATTGTCTTTGGTCAGGATAATAATTGGCAGCATGATTTTTCTTTAAACACCCTCAAAACATAAAAAAATAAATAAATAAAAA